ACAGGTGTGTGCCACCATGCCTGGCTAAGTTTTGTATTTTTTGTAGAGATGAGAGTCTCACTATGTTGCCCAGGCTGGTCTCAAACTCCTGGGCTCAAGCAATCCTCCCTCCTCAGTCTCCCTAAGTGCTGGGGAAATCCAGTTTTGAAACACTGTCTGGAGAGGTGCCCAGGTGTTAGATCACAGAAATAGGTCATCGTGGGGTCCTCTCATGGGTGCAGTCTTGAGCCACCTGTGGCCAGCAAATATTTGGAGAATAATAGTCAGGGGAGAGCTTGAGGTTCAGGAAAAGATTTTGTTTTTCCTCAGGGAAAGTTTTTTATTGTTCTTTATCCCTCCTTAAAGGACCTTCAGGTGTTACTGACATTCCCAGTCTACCCAGTGCCACATTTAGTTTGTAAGCTGGGCCCTTATACAGAGGTAGGGAGGTGAGAGCATTGGATTAGTGGTCACCAAAGCTGCCGTCACCTAGTGGGGTGATCAGAGACTCCTCCCTTAAGATCTTTATCGCCAACGCCTCTGGCGCAACTTTCCTTTTTATTTATCGCAAACCTCCTGGAATCTCAATTGCTTTTTGCCCACCCGGTGTGTCAGCACAAGAAATGAGTCATTTCCTCCTTTAAGCACAATCGAAATTGAGCTGTGAGTCAGTGGGGTGTGTACAGTATTGTCAAAGCACCTCCAATGAGACATTCCACACAGATCTGTAGTTGGGCAAGATAATTATCAGTTTGTGACCACAACAGATTCCAAAGCTCAACTCATTTTCTTCTCTCTTCCTTCCCTTCTTTCTTTTCTTTTTTTTTTTTTTTGGACAGAGTCTCGCTCTGTTGCCCAGGCTGGAGTGCAGTGGCACAATCTGGGCTCACTGCAGCCTCTGCCTCCTGGGTTCAAATGATTCTCGTGTTTCAGTCTCCCGAGTAGCTGGGATTATAGGCATTCGGGTTCAAGTGATTCTCCTGCCTCAGCGACCTGAGCAGCTGGGATTACAGGCATGTGCCACCACGCCCAGCTAATTTTTGTATTTTTAGTGGAGACGGGGTTTCACCATGTTGGCCAGGCTGGTCTCGAACTCCTGAACTCAGGTGATCTGCCCACTTTGGCCTCCCAAAGTGCTGAGATTACAAACGTGAGTCACCACGCCCAGCCTGTTCTGTTCTTTAATTCTCAAAACACCCTCTAGGAAGTAGAGATTGCCATTCTCCCCCATTTTACAGCTCAGGAAACTGAGTCCCAGAAGGATTAAGTCAGTTACCCAAGTCGTTCTCATTAAATGACCTGGAAAGCCACTGAAGCCCAGAATTGTCTATCTAACCCCCTTACTACTCTGACTTTCAGGGAGTCTACATGAATGTGCTGGGTCAACTATCAAAGTTGAAATGGATAAAGGGGGCTGGATGCAGTGGCTCATGCCTATAATCCTAGCACTTTGGGAGGCCGAAATGGGTGGGTGGGTTGCTTGAGCCCAGGAGTTTGAGACCAGCCTGGGCAACATAGTGAGACCCCTGTCTCTGCAAAAAATAAAAGCAAAAAGTTGGCCGAGTGTGATGGTGCACCCGTCTAGTTGCAGCTGCTCAGTTAGGCTGAGGCAGGAGGATCGTGTGAACCTGGGAAGTCGAGGCTGCCGTGAGCCTCAGTCATGCCACTGCACTCCAACCTGGGCGACAGACTGAGACCCTGTGTCCAAAAGAAAAGAAAAAAAGACATAGATATCCCTTTTAAAGTTAGGTTGTAGCCGGGCGCGGTGGCTCACGCCTGTAATCCCAGCACTTTGGGAGGCCGAGACGGGCGGATCACGAGGTCAGGAGATCGAGACCATCCTGGCTAACACGGTGAAACCCCGTCTCTACTAAAAAATACAAAAAACTAGCCGGGCGAGGTGGCGGGCGCCTATAGTCCCAGCTACTCGGGAGGCTGAGGCAGGAGAATGGCGTGAACCCGGGAGGCGGAGCTTGCAGTGAGCTGAGATCCGGCCACCGCACTCCAGCCTGGGTGACAGAGCGAGACTCCGTCTCAAAAAAAAAAATAAAATAAAGTTAGGTTGTATGTGAATTACCTACAGCTCAGTTTCAACCGTGCTTAAAGGAGGAAATGACTCATTTCTGGCTACACGTCAAATTAGCCCAAAACATAGTGGCTTAAAACAACACATTCATGGTTTCTCAGTTTTTGTGTGTCAGGAATTTGGAAGCAGCACAGCTAGATGGTTCCAGCTCAGGGTCTCTCATGAAGTTGCAATCAAAATATTGGCAGGAGAGGAAAACATATTTTCAGAAGCCGCAGGCATAGGAAGGCTTGGCTGGGGTTGAAGGATCCACTTCCACGACGGGGCACTCAGTGGCTCTTGGCTGGAGGCCTCAGTTCCCTGTTGCATGGAGCTCTCCCTCCAGCTGCTTGAGTGGACTCATGACATGCAGCTGGCCTCCCCTGGAGTAAGTTGATCCAACAATGAGCATGGCCATGAACTAGGCTCAGAAGCCACTTGTTGTCACCTCTACGTTTTCCTATCAGAAGTCCAGTGCCACTCCAGGGGACAGGAATTAGGCTCTGCCTTCTGAAAGGATTATCATAGAAGATGCAGTCATATATTCTTTTTTTTTTTTTTTTGAGACGGAGTCTCGCTGAGTCGCCCAGGTTGGAGTACAATGGCACGATCTTGGCTCACTGTAAGCTCCGCCTCCTGGGTTCACGCCGTTCTCCTGCCTCAGCCTCCCGAGTAGCTGGGACTACAGGTGCCCACCACCACGCCCGGCTAATTTCTTGTATTTTTAGTAGAGATGGGGTTTCACCGTGGTCTCCATCTCCTGACCTCATGATCCGCCCGCCTTGGCCTCCCAAACTGCTGGGATTACAGGCGTGAGCCACCGTGCCCAGCCTATTCTTTTTTTTTTAATTATTCTTTTTTTTATTTTGTAGAGATGGGGTCTTGGTATGTTGCCCAGGCCAGTCTAGAACTCCTGAGCTCAAACAATCCTATCTCTGCCTCCCAAAGTGTTGGGATTACAGGCGTGAGCTACTGCACCTGGCAATGTGGTCATAGTTTCTTTTTTTTTTTTTTTTGAGACAGAGTCTCTGTCGCCCAGGCTGGAGTACAGAGGCATGATCTCGGTTCACTGCAACATCCACCTCCCAGGTTCAAGCGATTCTCCTGCCTCAGCCTCCTGAGTAGCTACAGGCGCCCACCACCACACCCGGCTGATTTTTTTAGTAGAGACGGGGTTTCACCGTGTTAGCCAGGATGGTCTCGATCTCCTGATCTGGTGATCTGCCTGCCTCGGCCTCCCAAAGTGCTGGCTGGGATTACACGTATGAGCCACCACGCCCGGCCTTTCTTTTTTTTTTTTTTTTTTTGTGAGACAGAATCTTGCTCTGTTGCCAGCCTGGAGTGCAGTGGTGTAATCTTGGCTTACTGCAACCTCCACCTCCTGCATTCAAGCAATTCTGCTGCCTCAGCCTCCCGAATACCTGGGACTACAGGCCTGTGCCACCGCCCCTGGCTAATTTTTTGTATTTTTAGTAGAGATGGGGTTTCACCATGTTGGCTAGGACGGTCTCGATCTCCTGACCTGGTGATCCACCCACCTCGGCCTCCCAAAGTTTCAACCATCGATCAAAAGTTATCGATGTACATATGTAGCTAGGCATGGTGGCGTGTGCCTGTAATCCCAGCTACTTGGAAGGGTTAAGGCAGGAGAATCGCTTGAACCTGGGAGGCAGAGGTTACAGTGAGTCAAGATTACACCACTGCACTCCAGTCTGGGCAACAGAACAAGACTCTGTCTCAAAAACAAAACAAAACAAAAAAAACCCTTGTATGTGATTTTCCTGGAGAGCATCTGTTACACCTTCACAAAGATAAAAGGCAGACTTGGCCGGCCGTGGTGGCTCACACCTGTAATCCTAGCACTGAGAGACTGAGGCAGGTGGATCACTTGAGGTCAGGAGTTCGAGACCAGCCTGGGCAACATGGTGAAACCCCGTCTCTACAAAAAATACAAAAATTAGCTGGGTGTGGTGGCTGGCACACGCCTGTATTCCCAGCTGCTTGGGAAGCTAAGGCAGGAGAATCACTTGAACCCAGAGGCAGAGGTTCGCAGTGAGCTGAGATCGCACCATTGCACTCAACAGAGTGAGACTCTGTGTCAAAAAGAAAATAAAATTTTTTTTAAAAAGGCAGATTTTTTTTTTCTTCTTGGTCTTATTACCTCATTATAGTAATAATAAGTGCATAGTGCATGCTGAGATAAGCAATCATAATTTGTTATTGCAGCCAGGCACGGTGGCTCCCACCTATAATCCCAGCACTTTGGTCAGGAGTTCAAGGCCAGCCTGGCCAATATAGTGTACTGGGCAGTACAGGTTTTTTTTTGAGATGGAGTTTTGCTCTTGTTGCCCAGGCTGGAGTGCAATGGTGCCATCTCAGCTCACCACAACCTTTGCTTCCCGGGTTCAAGTGATTCTCCTGCCTCAGCCTCCTGAGTAGCTGGGATTACAGGCATGTGCCACCACACCCAGCTAATTTTGTATTTTTAGTAGAGATGTGGTTTCAGCATGTTGGCGACGCTGGTCTCAAACTCCTAACCTCAGGTGATCTGCCCACCTTGGCCTCCCAAAATGTTGGGATTACAGGCGTGAGCCACCGCGCCCAGCTGCAGTACAGGTTTTTAATATGCGAAATACTCTTCCTTTCTTTATGAATGTGCATGGAAATTCTAATTTGGAATCAACAAAATATGGAGCCCATATTTTGGAATCAACAACATCAGTCTTTGTTGACAAGTGTCTGTCTCTCTTGGGTGTCTTCCTTGTGTCCTCCACTGTATTCTGGGGTTCATAAAATTTCAGTTGTTGTGGTTGCTTAATTTCCTGGGAATCAGACTGTTCCTAATTGGATGATATTTCTGGTTAATTCTATAGTTGGCAGGAAACAGGCACAGGAAACGTGGTCAGTTTCTGATTCTGGCGTTGAGTAGACCCTTTCTCCTTTTCCTCTCTCTCAGTGGGCGACAGATGTGAAAGAAACGAGTTCCAGTGCGAAGACGGGAAATGCATCTCCTACAAGTGGGTCTGCGATGGCACCGCTGAGTGCCAGGATGGCTCTGATGAGTCCCAAGAGACGTGCTGTGAGTCCCCTTTGGGCATGATACACTTTTTTTTTTTTTTTTTTAATAGAGACAGGGTTTTGCCATGTTGGCCATGCTGGTCTTGAATTTCTGGTCTCAAGTGATCCTCTGGCCTCGGCCTCCCAAAGTGCTGGGATTACAGGCACCACGCCTGGCCTGTGACACAATTCTTAACCCCTTTTTGATGATGGCAGCTGGAAAAGTGGGCAGGGGATTTTGATGTATCCAATCATTAATTAGGAGGTGGGGAGAGAATGAATTATTGGAGCTTTCCTTAAAGCCATTAAATGGCTTTTTTTCCATTGATGTGAATTTCACATAACATGAAATTAACCAGCTCAGTGGCATTAATACATTTGCAATGCTGTGCTGTGTGGCCACCACCTCTATCTCAGTCCAAAACTTTGCATAACCTAATGTCTTTTTTTTTTTTTAAAGAGATGGAGTCTAATTCTGTTGCCCAGGCTGGAGTCCAGTGGCACAGTCATACCTCACTGCAGCCTTGACCTCTTGGGCTCAAGCGAGTCTCTTGCCTCGACCTCCCAAAGTATTGGAATTACAGGTGTGAGCCACTGCACTCAGCCTAATGTCCAATTTTTAACAAGCTCCGTTAAATGCCCTCTGTTTTGACCCATAAAGGGGTAGGCTTGGCCGGGCACAATGACTTGTGTCTGTAGTCCCAGCTACTTGGGAGGCTGAGGCAGAAAGGCAAAAAGATTCCTTTATAAAGCCCAGGAGTTTGAGGGCCACCTGGGTGACATGGCTAGACCCCATCTCTAAAAAATAAACAATAAATAAATATTTGTTTTTTTTTTTTTTTTGAGACGGAGTCTTAGTCTTGCTGTGTTGCCCAGGCTGGATTGCAGTGGTGCGATCTTGGCTCACTGCAAGCTCTGCCTCCTGAGTTCATGCCATTCTCCTGCCTCAGCCTCCCAAGTAGCTGGGACTACAGGCGCCTGCTACCATGCCCAGTTAATTTTTTGTATTTTTAGTAGAGACAGCGTTTCACCGTGTTAGCCAGGATGGTCTCAATCTCCTGACCTTGTGATCCGCCTGTCTCAGCCTCCCAAAGTGCTGGGATTACAGGCTTGAGCCACCGCGCCCGGCCGTCTGTTTTTTTCTGTCTTGTGACGGAGTCTCACTCTGCCACCCAGGCTGGAGTGCAGTGGTGGGATCTCGGCTCACTGCAACCTCCGCCTCCTGGGTTCAAGTGATTCTCCTGCCTCAGCCTCCCAAGTAGCTGGGACTACAGGCACCCACCACCACGCCCAGCTAATTTTTGTATTTTTAGTCGAGACGGGGTTTCACCATGTTGACATGTTGACCAGGCTGGTCTTGAATCCCTGACCTCAGGTGATCTACCCGCCTTGGCCTCCCAAAGTGCTAGGATTACAGGCGTGAGCCACTGTGCTCAGCCTCAGTGGGTCTTTGCTTTGAGTGACAGGTCAATCCTGTCTCTTCTATAGTGTCTGTCACCTGCAAATCCGGGGACTTCAGCTGCGGGGGCCGTGTCAACCGCTGCATTCCTCAGTTCTGGAGGTGTGATGGCGAAGTGGACTGTGAGAACGGATCAGATGAGCAAGACTGTCGTAAGTGTGGCCCTGCCTTTACTATTGAGCCCATCTGGGTCCTGGGGAGTGGTCTGACTGTCTCTACAGGGTCCTGCTTAAGCTGCAAGGCAGCTGCCCTGAACTGGGCTCCATCTCTTGGGGGCTCATACCAAGCCTCTTCTGCCCCTCAAATCCCTCCCTGACCAGGAGGCATTACAGACCAGGGATAGTGCCACCTCTTGGGTTTGTCGCGCACAGTCAGGGACACCATCCCTGCCGAGGGCTGGCCACCTGGCACACACACTGGCAAGCCACTGTGATCCCCAGTGGCCGTGATCCCCGCCCCGTGAGGCTGAACACATAGTGACACTTGCTAGCCACGCCTCAATGACCCAGGTAACGTGAAGGGGAAAAAGCTAGAAAGTTCTGCCAAGGAGGAAGGCCAAGAATCCCAAAGGGAAATGGGCTTTGGAGCTGGGCATCTTCTTGGCTGTCTTAATACAAGTGGCATATCCCAAATCCAAAAACCCGAAATTCAAAGTCTTGAGCACCCAAAATTCTGAAACGTCTTGAGCACTGACATTTAGAAGAAAATGCTTATTGGAGCATTTTGGATTTCGAATTTTTACCATTAAATGTGGAGTCCTAATTAGGAAAAAGCCAGGCTGGTCAAACCAAGGGAAAGCAATAAAAGAAGGCAGATAGAGTCGAGTGCAGTGGCTCACGCCTGTAATCCCAACCCTTTGAGAGGCTGAGGCGGGTGAATCACTTGAGGTCAGGAGTTCAAGACCATCTTGGCCAACATGGTGAAACCCCGTCTCTACTAAAAATACAAAAATTAGCCAGGCATGGTGGTGTGTGCCTGTAATCCCAGCTACTCGGGAGGCTGAGACAGGAGAATCACTTGAACCTGGGAGGCAGAGGTTGCAGTAAGCCAAGATCACACCATTGCACTCCAGCCTGGGGGACAAGAGTGAAAATCTATATCAAAAAAAAAAAAAAAGAAGGCTGGGCATGGTGGCTCATGCCTGTAATCCCAGCACTTTGGGAGGCCGAGGTGGGTGGATCAGGAGGTCAGGAGATCAAGACCATCCTGGCTAACACGGTGAAACCCCTTCTCTACTAAAAATACAAAAAATTGGGTGTGGTGGCGGGTGTCTGTAGTCCCAGCTACTCGGGAGGCTGAGGCAGGAGAATGGTGTGAACCCAGGAGGTGGAGCTTGCAGTGAACCGAGATGGCACCACTGCACTCCAGACTGGGCAACACAGCGAGACACCGTCTCAAAAAAAAAAGAAGAAGGCAGATAAACTATATAAGTCTGCCTTTCTTCATGGTCCAGAACACATAGCTCTCCTGTGTAAATAACTCCCAATCTTCCTGTGCCCAGGTATCAGCAGACACCTTGGCTGATAGAAAATTGCAGGTTAGCGCACTGCAACCTTGGCATCATAGGGACTGCACAACGCCCCCTTCAGCGCACAGCACAAGCACCATTCTATAAAATCTCCAGCCAGCAGCCGGGTGCGGTGGCTCACACCTGTAATCCCAGCACTTTGGGGGGCTGAGGCGGGCTGATCATCTGAGGTCAGGAGTTTGAGACCAGCCTGGCCACAATCATAAAACCCTGTCCCTACTAAAAATACACAAAAATTATCCAGGCATAGTGGCAGGTGCCTGTAGTCCCAGCTACTTGGAAGACTGAGGCAGGAGAATCGCTTGAACCTGGGAGGTGGAGGTTGCGGTGAGCTAAGACCGTGCCATCACACTCCAGCCTGGGGGACAAGAGTGAGACGACTTCTCAAAAAAAAAAAAAAAAATCCCCAGCAAGCCTTTGTCTCCTGGCAGTCAGCTCCTCCCTTGCTGACCTGCTCATTGCTTTCTTGCAAGGTATTTTCCTACTTTCTCGAATAAATCTGCGTTTCTTTACCTACAGCTGCCTTTTTTTTTTTTTTTCTTCAATTTTTTGAGACCGAGTCTCACTCTGTTGCCCAGGCTGGAGTTCAGTGGTGCAGTCTTGGCTCACTGCACCACTGGTCCCAAGCATTTTAGAGAAGTGATACTCAACCCAAAATAAGGACAGGAATTCTATAAATGGTGCCACCGTCTTGCAGTTCTCAGTTTAACAGCTTTACACCTATTAACGCACCAGTCCTCAGAGCAGTGCTGGGAGATGTGTACAGATGAGGAAACTGAGGCACTGAGAGGGCAGTGGTTCAGAGTCCATGGCCCCTGACTGCTCCCCAGCCCGCCTCTCCAGGCGCCTGGCGTTTCTGTGGCAGCGTCCCCAGCTATAGAATGGGCTAGTGTTGGGAGACTTCACGGTGACGGTGGTCACGGCCCATCCATCCCTGCAGCCCCCAAGACGTGCTCCCAGGACGAGTTTCGCTGCCACGATGGGAAATGCATCTACCGGCAGTTCGTCTGTGACTCAGACCGGGACTGCTTGGACGGCTCGGACGAGGCCTCCTGCCCGGTGCTTACCTGCGGCCCCGCCAGCTTCCAGTGTAACAGCTCCACCTGCATCCCCCAGCTGTGGGCCTGCGACAACGACCCCGACTGCGAAGATGGCTCGGATGAGTGGCCTCAGCACTGTCAGGGTCTTGAAGTGCCCAAAAGGGACAGTAGCCCCTGCTCGGCCTTCGAGTTCCACTGTCGAAGTGGCGAGTGCATCCACTCTGGCTGGCGCTGTGATGGAGGCCCCGACTGCAAGGACAAGTCTGACGAGGAGAATTGCCGTAAGGACAGGGGCGGGGCCTGGGGCGGGAGCGGGGCGTCCTATCACCTGTCCCTGGGCTCCCCCGGGTGTGGGACATGCGATGATTTAGGTGCTGAAGTGGATTTCGAACAACATGCCAAGAAAGTGGTTCCCATTTCATGTTTTTTTCTTTTTTTTTTTTTTTTTTTGAGGTGGAGTCTCACTCAGATTTTTTTCGTCTCTAAATTTCCTGCATCCATGAGGCCCCAGGCGATGGTTCCTGTTGGCTTATTGGGAAGTCACTGTTTGGAAGGTGCTGGTTGTTTTTTGTTGTTTGTTTTTGTTTTGAGACGGAGTTTCGCTCTTGTTGCTCAGGCTGCAGTGCAATGGCGCGATCTCGGCTCACTGCAATCTCTGCTTCCCAGGTATAAGTGATTCTCCTGTCTCAGCCTCCCAAGTAGTTTGGATTATAGGCATGCACCACCACGTCCAGCTATTTTTTGTTGTATTTAGTAGAGATGGGGTTTCACCATGGTAGTCAGGCTGGTCGCAAACTCTTGACCTCAGATGATCCATCTGCCTTAGCCTCCCAAAGTGCTGGGATTACAGGCGTGCACTGCCGCATCCAGCCTCTTTTTTTTTTTTTTTTTTTTTTTTGAGACGGAGTCTCGCTCTGTTGCCCAGGCTGGAGTGCAGTGGCCGGATCTCGGCTCACTGCAAGCTTCGCCTCCTGGGTTTACGCCATTCTCCTGCCTCAACCTCCCGAGTAGCTGGGACTACAGGCGCCCGCCACCTCGCCCGGCTAGTTTTTTGTATTTTTTAGTAGAGACGGGGTTTCACCGTGTTAGCCAAGATGGTCTCGATCTCCTGACCTCGTGATCCGCCTGTCTCGGCCTCCCAAAGTGCTGGGATTACAGGCTTGAGCCACTGCGCCCAGCCTCTGGTTGTCTCTTCTTGAGAAAATCAACACACTCTGTCCTGTTTTCCAGCTGTGGCCACCTGTCGCCCTGACGAATTCCAGTGCTCTGATGGAACTTGCATCCATGGCAGCCGGCAGTGTGACCGGGAATATGACTGCAAGGACATGAGCGATGAAGTTGGCTGCATTAACGGTGAGCGCTGGCCATCTGCTTTCCCATCCCCCATTCTCCGTGCCTTACTGCTTGCAAATGATTTGTGAAGCCAGAGGGCACTTCCCTGGTCAACTCTGTACCAGCTGTGTGTCTGTGGGCAAGTGACCTGAGTTCCCAGAGCCTCACTTCCTTTGTTTTTAGATGGAGCCTCGCTCTGTCACCCAGGCTGGAGTAGTGTGGCACAATCACAGCTCACGGCAGCCTCTGCCTCTGGGGTTCCAGTGATTCTCCTGCCTCAGCCTCCCGAGTAGCTGAGATTCAAAGCATATGCCACCATGCCAGGCTAATTTTTTGTATTTTTATTAGAGACAGGGTTACACCATGTTGGCCAGGCTGGTCTTGAACTCCTGTCCTCAGGTGATCCACCTGCCTTGGTCTCCCAAAGTGCTGGGATTACAGGTATGAGCCACCACCCCAGGCCTCATTGTTTTGTATTTTTAGTAGAGATGCGGTTTTACCATATTGCCCAGGCTTGTCTCGAACTCCTGGGCTCAAGCGATCTGCCTGCCTCGGCCTCCCAAAGTGCTGGGATTACAGGCGCAAACCTCTGTGCCCGATTCGCTTTCTTAATGAGTCCATTTGCATGCGTTCTTATGTGAATAAACTATTATATGAATGAGCGCCAAGCAGACTGCAGGTCAGACACACCTGACCTTCCTCCTTCCTCTCTCTGGCTCTCACAGTGACACTCTGCGAGGGGCCCAACAAGTTCAAGTGTCACAGCGGCGAATGCATCAGCCTGGACAAAGTCTGCAACATGGCTAGAGACTGCCGGGACTGGTCAGATGAACCCATCAAGGAGTGTGGTGAGTCAGGGTGCAGGCGGCTTGCAGAGTTTGTGGGGAGCCAGGAATAGAACTGAGAAATGAGTGCTGTAGGGTTTTGGGAACTCCACGCTGCCCACCCTGTGCAAAGGGCTCCTTTTTTTTATTTTGAGACAGTCTCGCACCGTCTCCCAGGCTAGAGCACAATGGCGTGATCATGGCTCCGTGCAACCTCCACCTACCAGATTCAAGCAATTCTCCTGCCTCAGCCTCCCAAGTAGCTGGGATTACAGGTGAATGCCACCATGCTGTACTGATTTTTGTATTTTTAGTAGAGCTGGGGTGTCACCATGTTGGCCGGGCTGGTCTCGAACTCCTGACCTCAAGTGATCCACCCACCTCCTGAAGTGCTGGGATTACAGGCGTGAGCCACCTTGTCCTGGTGAGATTTTGTTTTTTTTTTTTTACCAACCCTCTGTAGTGGATGCTGAAAGACCCTATTAGGATAACCGTACAGTACAGAGAACGCAGTGGGAAGTTTTCTCTGTCATATACCAGAGAGGGCCTGGGCACGGCGGCACACTCCTGTAGTCTCAGCTACTCAGAAGCTTGAGGAAGGAGGATCGCTTGGGCCCAGAAGCTGCAGGCTGTAGTGAGCTGTGATCATACCACCACACTTCACTCTGGGCAACAGAGTCAGGGACCCTGTCTCTAAAAAAAAGCAAATATTTTGGACACTGTGGGCCATACGGTCTCTGGTGCAGTTTCTTTTTTTTTTTTTTTTTTTGAGACGGAGTCTTGCTCTGTCGCCCAGGCTGGAGTGCAGTGGCCGGATCTTAGCTCACTGCAAGCTCCGCCTCCCGGGTTTACGCCATTCTCCTGCCTCAGCCTCCCGAGTAGCTGGGACCACAGGCGCCCGCCACCTCGCCCGGCTAGTTTTTTGTATTTTTTAGTAGAGACGGGGTTTCACCGTGTTAGCCAGGATGGTCTCGATCTCCTGACCTTGTGATCCGCCCGTCTCGGCCTCCCAAAGTGCTGGGATTACAGGCTTGAGCCACCGTGCCCGGCTTCTGGTGCAGTTTCTCAACATGGCTGTTGGGTGAACACCACCACCCACAGAACGCAAACCAATACATGTGGCTGTGGGCCCAGAAAATGTTATTTATGGACACTGAAATTGGAATTCTGTATAACTGTTTTGTGTCACAAAAATGATTTCCCTTTTTATTTTTATTTTTCTTCTCAAGTATTTAAACATGGAAAAGCCATTTTTAGGTCTGGCGGGTTGGTTCACAGCTGTGATCCCAGTACTTTGGGAGGTCGAGGCGGGAAGACCACAAGGTCAGGAGATCGAGACCATCCTGGCTAACATAGTGAAACCCCGTCTCTACTAAAAATATAAAAAATTAGCCAGGCGTGGTGCCGCGCGTCTGTAATCCCAGCTGCTCGGGAGGCTGAGGCAGGAGAATCGCTTGAACGCAGGAAGTGGAGGTTGCAGTGAGCCGAGGTCGCACCACTGCACTCCAGCCTGAGCGACGGAGTGAGAGTCCGCCTCAAACAAAAAATCGTTTGCTCATGCAGGTCTTGAACTCCTGGGCTCAAGCTATCTGCCCGCCTTGGTCTCCCAAAGTTCTGGGATTATAGGCATGAGCTACAGCGCCCAGACTTTTGTTGTTTTATATACATATATTTAAACTGCAGCAAAAAACATGTAATATAAAATTTACCGTCTTAAACCTTAGTAAGTGCACAGTTCTGTGCCAGTAGCACATTCACACTGTTGTACAGCATCACAACCACCATCTCCAGAACTCTTTTTTAAAATTTTGTTTGTGATGGAGTCTCACTCTGTCACCCAGGCTGGAGTGCAGTGGTGTGATCTCTGTTCACGGCAACCTCCACCTCCCAGGTTCAAGTTATTCTCCTGCCTCAGCCCCCTGAGTAGCTGGGATTACAGGTGCCCACCACCATGCCTAGCTAAATTTTGAATTTGTAGTAGACACGGACTGGGTTTCATCATGTTGGCCCGGCTGGTCTCGAACTCCTGACCTCAAGTGATGCTCCCACCTCGACTTCCCAAAGTGCTGGGAATACAGGCATGAGCCACTGCGCCTGGCCCCAGAAATCTTTTATCTTCCCAAACTGAAGCTCTGTCCCCATGAAACACTCACTCCCTATCCCCTCCCCAACTCCTGGCACCTACCATTCTACTTTCTGTCTCTATGATGGCTCTAGGGACCTCCTTTGAGTGGAATCAGACAGCATTTTCCTTTTTTGACTGGCTTATTTCACTGAGCCAAGTGTGGTGGCTCACGCCTGTAATCCCAGAACTTCAGGAGACCAAGGCAGGCAGATCACCTGAGGTCAGGAGTTCGAGACCAGCCTGGCCAAGGTGGTGAAACCCCATCTCTAGTAAAAATACAAAAAATTAGCCGGTTTTGGTGGTGGGTGCCTGTAGTCACAGCTACTCGGGAGGCTGAGGCAGGAGAATCACTTGAACCCAGGAGGCAGAGGTTGCAGTGAACCGAGATCGTGCCATTGCACTCCAGCCTGGGCGACAAGAGTGAAACTCCGTCTAAAAAAAAAAGAGAGAGAGAGAGAAACCCCGTCTCTGCTAAAAAATACAAAAAAATTAGTAGTCGGGCATGGTGGCGCATGCCTGTAGTCCCAGCTACTCGGGAGGCTGAGGTATGAGAATCACTTGAACCCGGGAGGTAGAGGTTGTAGTGAGCCAAGATTGGCAGTGAAGGGATGGGTGGGGGCCTGAGAGTGACTAGTCTGTGTCCCCTGGCCCTGCACAGGGACCAACGAATGCTTGGACAACAACGGTGGCTGTTCCCACATCTGCAACGACCTTAAGATCGGCTACGAATGCCTGTGTCCCGACGGCTTCCAGCTGGTGGCCCAGCGAAGATGCGAAGGTGATTCCCGGGTGGGACTGAGCCCTGGGCCTCCTCTGCACTTCATGACATGGCGACTAAACCCCTCGTGCCTCAGTTTCCCCATCTGTTAAGTGGGCCTGAAAGCAGTTAGTAGGGCTTCATGAGATTCCACAGACATGGAAAACTATCATTGGCTGGCCAGAGGTTCTTGTCTCTGGGGATTAATAATTAAGAAATTTCGGCCGGGCGCGGTGGCTCAAGCCTGTAATCCCAGCACTTTGGGAGGCCGAGACGGGTGGATCATGAGGTCAGGAGATCGAGACCATCCTGGCTAACACGGTGAAACCCCGTCTCTACTAAAAAATACAAAAAACTAGCCGGGCGAGGTGGCGGGCGCCTGTAGTCCCAGCTACTCAGGAGGCTGAGGCAGGAGAATGGTCTAAACCCAGGAGGCGGAGCTTGCAGTGAGCTGAGATCCAGCCACTGCACCCCAGCCTGGGCGACAGAGCAAGACTCTGTCTCAAAAAAAAAAAAAAAAAAAAAGAAAAAAAAAGAAATTTCAGGCCGGGCGTGGTGGCTCACACCTGTAATCCCAACACTTTGGGAGGCCGAGACGGGCAGATCACCTGAGGTCGGGAGTTCGATACCAGCCTTACCAACATGGAGAAACCCCGTCTCTACTAAAAATACAAAATTAGCTGGGCGTGGTGGCTCACGCCTGTAATCCCAGCTACTTGGGAGGCTGAGGCAGGAGAATCACTTGAACCTGGGAGGCGGAGGTTGCGGTGAGCTGAGATTGTGACATTGCACTCCAGCCTGGGCAACAAGAGTGAAACTCCGTCAAAAAAAAAAAAAAAGAGAGAAATTTCAGCTGATACAGCTTCACACTCTTGGTTGGGTTCCTGTGGTGAGTGGTGAGGTCACATCATGGCTGGGGATGACACCTGGCTGTTTCCTTGATTACATCCTTTGAGAGGCCAGGCTGTCCCCTGGCTGCCTTCGAAGATATGGGTTTTGGCCTGGGTCCCATTGCTCCATTTCTGGCCATTGGGGAGGAGTCCCCCCACCAAGCCTCTTTCTCTGCCTCCCAGATATCGATGAGTGTCAGGATCCCGACACCTGCAGCCAGCTCTGCGTGAACCTGGAGGGGAGCTACAAGTGCCAGTGTGAGGAAGGCTTCCAGCTGGACCCCCACACCAAGGCCTGCAAAGCTGTGGGTGAGCATGGGAAGGCGGCGGGTGGGGGCGGCCTCACCCCTTGCAGGCAGAAACGGTGAGGAGTTTCATCATCTGAACTTTGCACAGACTCATATCCCCTGGCCAGGAGGCTGTTTGCTCCCAAGGGCTCTGGCAGCAGAGTCCGCTGCCCTGTTAGGACTTGGGCTTGCCAGGGGCATGACTGCATAAAACCTAGTTTCTAGGAATATCCAGTTAACAAAACCCTCAGCCCTGCTGATGGAACAGGAACCGGCTTTCCTTTCAGGGACAACCTGGGGAGTGATTTCAAGGGGTTAAAGAAAAAATTAGCCAGGTGTGGTGCCGCACACCTGTGGTCCTGGCTACTCTGGAGGCTGAGGCAGGAGGATCGCTTGAGGCTACTCGGGAGGCTGAGGCGGGAGAATCGCTTGAGGCCAGGAGGATTGGTTCATCCTCCCATGTCGGCCTCCGGAGTAGCCAGGACCTCAGGTGCATGCCACCATGCCCAGCTAATTTTCATACTTTTAGTAAAGACAGGGTTTCACCATGTTGGCCATGCTAGTCTCGAATTCCTGAACCCAAGTGATCCTCCTGCCTTGGCCTCCCAAAGTGCTAGGATTACAGACACCACACCTGGCTATTATTGTTTTTTAGAGACAGGGTCTTGCTCTGTCTTCCAGCCTGTAGTGCAGTGCAGCCTCCATCATAGCTCACTGCAGCCTTGACCTCCTGGGTTCGCACGATCCTGCTACCTCAGCCTCTGGAGTAGCTGGGACTACTGGCATGTGCCACCATACCTGGGTAATTTTTTTTTTTTTTTTTTTTTTTTTTTTGAGACAGAGTCTCAGTCACCCAGGCTGGAATGTGGAATGTAGTGGCACGATCTTGGCTCACTGCAATCTCCACATCCCAGGTTCAAGCAATTCTCCTGCCTCACCCTTCCAAGTATCTGGGATTACAAGTTCCCATTACCAAATGTGGCTAGTTTTTGTACATTTAGTAGAGACGGGGTTTCTTTTTTTTTTTTTTTGAGACGGAGTCTTTGCTCTGTCACCCAGGCTGGAGTGCAGTGGTGCGAACTCGGCTCACTACAACCTCCACCTCCTGGGTTTATGCCATTCTCCTGCCTCAGCCTCCCGAGTAGCTGGGACTACAGGCGCCCACCACCACGCCCGGCTAGTTTTTTGTACTTTTAGTAGAGACGGGGTTTCACCGTGTTAGCCAGGATGGTCTCGATCTCCTGACCTTGTGATCCGCCCATCTCGGCCTCCCAAAGTGCTGGGATTACAGGCGTGAGCCACCGCGCCCGGCCAGAGACGGGGTTTCACCACATTGGTCAGGCTGGTCTCAAACTCCTGACATAAAGTGATTCGCCCACCTCAGCCTCCCAAAGTGCTGGGATTACAGGCTTGAGCCACCGTGCCCGGCCAAAGTTTTTTTTTTTTTTTGTGGCAATAAAGTCTCATTGTGTTACCCAGGCTAGCCTTACACTCCCAGAAAAAGTGATCCTCCTCCCTCAGCCTCCTAAAGTGCTGGGATTACAGGCGGGCTCCACTGTGCCTGTTTCCATCAGGAAGTTCTTTTCCACCCTGTTTTTCTGGGTGCCTCCTCTGGCTCAGCTGCACCCTGCAGGGTGACACGAGGGGACGGGGAGGCACTCTCGGTTCCATCGCCGGGTTTCCTCTGCCCCCCTGACCTTGCTCCCCGGGTCCCCAGGCTCCATCGCCTACCTCATCTTCACCAACCGGCACGAGGTCAGGAAGATGACGCTGGACCGGAGTGAGTACACCAGCCTCATCCCCAACCTGAGGAATGTGGTCGCTCTGGACACGGAGGTGGCCAGCAATAGAATCTATTGGTCCGACCTGTCCCAGAGAATGATCTACAGGTGAGCGTCGCCCCTGCCTGCAGCCTTGGCCCACAGATGAGATGAGGGCTCCCGGCCCTGACGCCCTCCTCTCCTCCTGCCTCAGCACCCAGCTTGACAGAGCCCACAGCGTCTCCTCCTACGACACCGTCATCAGCAGGGACCTCCAGGCCCCCGACGGGCTGGCTGTGGACTGGATCCACAGCAACATCTACTGGACCGACTCTGTCCTGGGCACTGTCTCCGTTGCGGATACCAAGGGTGTGAAGAGGAAAACGTTATTCAGAGAGAACGGCTCTAAGCCAAGGGCCATCGTGGTGGATCCTGTTCATGGGTGCGTATCTACGACGCTGAGTGGTGCATAGGGAAGGGAGGGAGCAGGAAGGGGCTTCAGGAACTGGTTAATGGGCTGGGCATCGTGGCTTAAAGTGCCTGTAATCCCAGCACTTTGGGAGGCTGAGGAGGGTGGATCATCTGAGGTCAAGAGTTCAAGACCAGCCTGACCAACGTGGTGAAACCTCATCTCTACTAAAAATACAAAAATTAGCCGGGTGTGGTGACGTGCACCTGTAATCCCAGCTGCTCGGGAGGCTGAGGTGGGAGAATCACTTGAACCCAGGAGGTGGAGGTTGCAGTGAGCCGAGACAGCCCTGCTGCTCTCCAGCCTGGGTGACAGAGCGAGACTCCGTCTCAAACAAACAAACAAAAAAAGAACTGGTTAGTGGTTAGTGGTTAGTGGTTAGTGGCTAGGCCCCAGAATGGTATCTTCCAAGCCCGTGGCTGACTCAGCAGCTCCTGGGACAAGGCACTCTGACCTGTGTCCCCTGGCAGGAAGCATCGCCCCTGCCGCCTGCCTGGCGTACCCTGTACCTGTCAGGCGACATCTGCCACCTGAGCACGTGAGAGGTGGCACCTCAGTTTCAGTGAGGCGCTGACAAGCTGGGATGCACACCGTCCTCACAGCCACCATCAGGAGGTGAATGTTCGGTCTCGGGCAGAGATCACTGGAGAAGGCACACTCGGTGTCCGGCAGGGGAAAGCAGGGAAGAGAGCATCATTTAGATGGAACAGAACTTGCCTGCGGGGGAAGGTGGGCCCGCTAGGGCCAGCGTCCCTTTTTATTTTTATTTATTTATTTATTTATTTATTATTATTATTTTTTTGAGATGGAGTCTCGCTCTGTCGCCCAGGCTGGAGTGCAGTGGCCGGATCTCAGCTCACTGCAAGCTCCGCCTCCTGGGTTTACACCATTCTCCTGCCTCAGCCTCCCGAGTAGCTGGGACTACAGGCGCCCGCCACCTCGCCCGGCTAGTTTTTTTGTATTTTTTAGTAGAGACGGCATTTCACCAGGTTAGCCAGGCTGGTCTCGATCTCCTGACCTCGTGATCCGCCCGTCTCGGCCTCCCAAAGTGCTGGGATTACAGGCTTGAGCCACCGCACCCGGCTTTTTTATTTTTTTTTGAGACAGAGTCTCGTTCTGTCACCCAGGCTGGAGTGCAGTGGTCCGACCTAGGCTCACTGCAAGCTCCGCCTCCCAAGTTCACGACATTCTCCTGCCTCAGCCTCCCGAGTAGCTGGGACTACAGGCGCCCGCCACCACTGGCTAATTTTTTGTATTTTTAGTAGAGACGGGGTTTCACTGTGTTAGCCAGGATGGTCTTGATCTCCTGACCTCATGATCCGCCCTCCTCAGCCTCCCAAAGTGTTGGGATTACAGGCGGGAGCCACTGCGCCTGGCCCCGTTTTTATTTTTTATTTTTTGAGGCGGAATCTTGCTTTGTCGCCCAGGCTAGATTGTAGTGGCAAGATCTTGGCTCATTGCAGACTCCACCTCCCAGGTTCAAGTGATTCTCCTGCCTCAACCTCCCAACTAATTGGGATTAGAAGCATGCACCACCACACCCGGCTAATTTTTTGTATTTTCTTTTTTTTTTTTTTTTTTTGAGATAGAGTCTCGCTCTGTCGCCCAGGCTGGAGTGCAGTGGCTGGATCTCAGCTCACTGCAAGCTCCGCCTCCCGGGTTCACGCCATTCTCCTGCCTCAGCCTCCCGAGTAGCTGGGACTACAGGCGCCCGCCACCTCGCCCGGCTAGTTTTTTGTATTTTTTAGTAGAGATGGAGTTTCACTGTGTTAGCCAGGATGGTCTCAATCTCCTGTCCTCGTGATCCTCCCGTCTCGGCCTCCCAAAGTGCTGGGATATTTTTTGTATTTTCAGTAGCGACTGGGTTTCACCTTGTTGGCTAGGCTGGTCTTGAATGCCTAGCCTCAAGTAATCCGCCCACCTCAGCCTCCCAAAGAGCGGAGATTACAGGTGTGAGCCACTGTGCCCAACCCAACCCTGGATCTCTTTTAAACAAGACAATGCTCACTGTTGCCACAGAACAATGGGTGGGGTACGTGTGGCCCAGTGTGTTTGGCCACATAACTGCCAGGCCAGCGGGAAAGAGACTCCAGACTGTCTCCACTCAGATACAAATGTTGTGTGTGTTGTGTGTGTGTGTGTTCTGGTCTCATGTTTGTTTTTATCGTTTGTTTTGAGACAGGGTGTCGCTCTGTCACTGAGGCTGGAGCGCAGTGGCGCAGTCAGAGCTCACTGCAGCCTCAAACTCTCGGGATCAATCGATTCTCCCACTTCAGCCTCCCACGTAGCTGGAACCACAGGTGCACATCACTGCGCCCAGCTGAATTATTTTATTTTTAGTAGAGATGAGGTCTCACTATGTTGTCCAGGCTGGTCTTGACCTCTTAGCCTCAAGCAATCCTCCTGCCTTGGCCTCCCAAAGTGTTAGGATTACAGGCGCGAGTCATTGTGCGTGGCTTGTGTTCTTGTGTTTCTTCCTTTCTTTTTCTTTCGAGGTAGCGTCTCAGTCTGCCACCCAGGCTGGAGTGCAGTGGTGTGATCATAGCTCACTGTAGCCTCAGCTTCCTGGGCTCAAGCAATCCTCTGATTTCAGCCTCCTGGGCCTGGCCAGCATGGTGAAACCCCATCTCTACTAAAAATACAAAAATGTAGCCAGGTGTAGTTGCGTGCGCCTGAAATCCCAGCTACGCGGGAGGCTGAGGCAGGAGAATCGCTTGAACCTGGAAGGTGGAGGTTCCAGCGAGCCGAGATCATGCCACAGAACTCCAGCTTGGGCGACAGAGACAGACTCTGTTTCAAAAACACCCCAAACAAACCATATTTGGAGTTTGGGGTTCCCAGCAGGGCTATTTCCCAAGCCTGAGCCTGGCTGTTTCTGCCAGAATTCGTTGCACGTGTTGGCTGGGATCCTCCCCCACCCTCCAGCCTCACAGCTATTCTCTGTCCTCCCACCAGCTTCATGTACTGGACTGACTGGGGAACTCCCGCCAAGATCAAGAAAGGGGGCCTGAACGGTGTGGACATCTACTCGCTGGTGACTGAAAACATTGAGTGGCCCAATGGCATCACGCTAGGTATGTTCGCAGGACGGCTGTCCCAGCCAGGGCCGGGCACAGGCTAAAGGACGGACGGGGGTTGCCAGGTGGCTCTGGGACAAGCCCAAGCTGCTCCCTGAAGATGTCCCTCTTTCTTTTCTTTGTTTTTTCTTTTTTTTGAGATGAGGTCTTGGTCTGTCACCCAGGCTGGAGTGCAGGGGCGCAATCGTAGCTCACTGCAGCCTCCACCTCTCAGACTCAAGTGATCCTCCTGCCTCACCCTCCTGAGTAGCTGAGACTACAGACACGTGCCACCACACAGACTAATTGTATTTTATTTTGGGGAAGAGACACAGTCTTGTTATGTTGGCCTGGCTGGTCTCAAACTCCAGGGTGCAAGGGTCCCTGCCACCTCCGTCTTCCAAACTGCTAAGATGACAGGCGTGGGCCGCCGTACCCAGCCTCCCTGAGGTTTTTCTGACCTGCAGCTCCCCTACCTGCCTGTTGGAGAGGGCGTCACAGGGGAGGGGTTCAGGATCACACATGGTTGGAGCTGCCTCTCCAGGTACCTCTGCCGGGTCCCTGGGGGGTTCTTCCTGCCCGGATCAGCGTGGCCAGGCCCGCAGGACCCTCTGGGACTGGCATCGGCACGTGACCTCTCCTTATCCACTTGTGTGTTCTAGATTTCCCCAGTGGCCGCCTCTACTGGGTTGACTCTAAACTTCACTCCATCTCAAGCATCGACGTCAACGGGGGCAACCGGAAGACCATCTTGGAGGACAAAGAGAGGCTGGCCCACCCCTTCTCCTTGGCCATCTTTGAGGTGCGGCTTACGTACGAGATGCAAGAACTTAGATGGCAGATAGACACAGACTGTGTAGATCACTCAAGCCAAGACGAATGCGGAAAACTGGTCATGACTAGGAGGAGGTCTTAGACCTGAGTTATTTCTATTTTCTTTTTTTTTTTTTTGAGACGGAGTTTCGCTCTTGTTGCCCAGGCTGGAATGCAATGGTGTGATCTCAGCTCACCGCAACCTCCACCTCCCAGGTTCAAGCAATTCTCCTGTCTCAGGCTCCCCAATAGTTGGGATTATAGGCATGGACCACCATGCCCGGCTAATTTTGTATTTTTAGTAGAGACAGGGTTTCTCCATGTTGGCCAGGCTGGTCTCGAACTCCCGACCTCAGGTGATCCACCTGCCTCTGCCTCCCAAAGTGCTGGGATTACAGGAGTGAGCCACCTCACCTGGCCGCCTGTCTACTTTTGAAAAAAATTTATTGTAGAGACAGGGCCTTGCTCTGTTGCCCAGGTTGGTCTTGAACTCCTGGCCTCAAGTGATCCTCCCACCGTAGCCCTCCGTCCATTTGCATTTTAGTAAAGGAATAGCTGAGGCCGGGTAATTTATAAAGAAAAGAGGTTTAAACTGGGCACGGCAACCTACGCCTATAATCCCAGAACTTTGGGAGGCTGAGGCAGGAGGATCACTTGAGTCCCGGAGTGCGAGACCAGCCTGGCCAACATGACGAAACCCTGTCTCTACAAAAAATACAAAAAGTAGCCAGGTGTGGTGGCAGGCACCTGTAATCCCGGGTTCTCCAGAGACCGAGCCATGAGAATTGCTTGATCCCAGGAGTTGGAAGCTGCAGTGAGCCAAGATCATGCCACTGCACTTCAGCCTGGGCAACAGAGTGGGACTCTGTCTCAAAAAAAAAAAAAAAAGAAAAGAAAAGAAAAGAAAAAAATTTCTGGAAATGGGTGGTGGTGATGGTGATACTTGCACAACAGTGTGAATCTGCTTAAGGCCATTGAACTGTGCACTTACAAATAGCTGAGATGGTACATTTTATGTTATGTATATTTTTACCACAATTAAAAACTAGTTGTGGGCCAGGCATGGTGGCTCATGCCTATAATCCCACCTCTTTGGGAGGTTGAGGGAGGTGGATCATGAGGTCAGGAGTTCGAGACCAGCCAGGCCAACATGGTGAAACCCCATCTCTACTAAAAATACAAAAAGTAGCCAGGTGTGGTGGCACACGCCTGTAGTCCCAGCTACTCGGGAGGCTGAGGCAGGAGAGCCGCTTGAACCTGGGAGGCTAAGATTGCAGTGAGCCGAAATTGTGCCACTGCACTCTAGCCTGGGTGACAGAGCAAGACTTAGTCTCAAAAAAAAAAAAAAAAAAAAAAGGCTAGCTGTGGGTGAGGCATGGTGGCTCACGCTTGTAATCCCAGCACTTTGGGAGACCGAGGCAGGTGGATAGCCTGAGGTCAGGAGTTTGAATCCAGCCTGGCCAACATGGTGAAATCCCGTCTCTACTAAAAATACAAAAAATTAGCCAGGTGTGGTGGCATGTGCTTGTAATCCCAGCTACTCGGGAGGCTGAAGCAGGATAATCGTTTGAACCCGGGAGGTGGAGGTTGCAGTGAGCCGAGACTGGGCCACTGTACTCCAGCCTAGGCAACAAGAGTAAAATTCTGTCTCAAAAAACAAACAAGCAAACAAGTTGTGGAGAGAGGGTGGCCTGTATCTCATCCCAGTGTTTAATGGGATTTGTCATCTTCCTTGCTGCCTGTTTAGGACAAAGTATTTTGGACAGATATCATCAACGAAGCCATTTTCAGTGCCAACCGCCTCACAGGTTCTGATATCAATTTGTTGGCCGAAAACCTACTGTCCCCAGAGGATATGGTCCTCTTCCACAACCTCACCCAGCCAAGAGGTAAGGGTGGGTCAGCCCCACCCCCCCCCTTGAAACCTCCTTGTGGAAACTCTGGAATGTTCTGGAAGTTTCTGGAATCTTCTAGTCTATCTGATGATCTGGTTCCTGCCCTGACTCCACTTCTTCTGCCCCAGGAGTGAACTGGTGTGAGATGACCACGCTGAGCAATGGCGGCTGCCAGTATCTGTGCCTACCTGCCCCACAGATCAACCCCCAGTCGCCCAAGTTTACCTGCACCTGCCCGGACGGCATGCTGCTGGCCAAGGACATGAGGAGCTGCCTCACAGGTGCGGCACACGCCTTGTTTCTGTGTCCTGTGTCCTCCAACTGCCCCTCCTGAGACTCTCTGCTTATCTGTCAAATGGGTACCTCTAAGTCATTGTGAGGACTCGTGAGTCGGGAAAACCATACTTTTCTTTCCTTGGATGGACACATCAGCACTGGGCTGGACATATACCCAGTTCCCCTTTGATACCTGGTTTCCTCTTTCCCGGACCCGTGAAGAGGTGATATGATTTCTGACAAGGGCCCTGAGGGAGGAAATGGTCCCCTTTGTTGACTTTTATTTCTCTTTTTTGAGATTTGCTCTGTCACCCAGGCTGGAGTGCAGTGGTGCCATCTTGGCTCACTGCTGCCTCTCCTATTGGGTTCAAGCAATTCTCATGCCTCAGCCTCCCAAGTAGCTGGGATTACAGGCATGCACCGCCACGCCTGGCTAATTTTTGTATTTTTAGTACAGACAGGGTTTCTCCACGGTGGTCAGGCTGGTGTCGAACTCCTGACGTCAGATGATCCACTCACCTCTGCCTCTTGAAGTGCTAGGATTACAGGCATGAACCACCGTGCCAGGCCCCCTTTGTGGACTTTTCTCATCCTCTGAGAAAGTCTCAATTGAGGCCAACACCTCCCGCAAGCAAATTGAATCTCCCTTTTTTTTTTTTTTTTTTTGAGACGGAGTCTAGCTCTGTCGCCCGGGCTGGAGTGTAGTGGCCGGATCTCAGCTCACTGCAATCTCCGCCTCCCGGGTTCACGCCATTCTCCTGCCTCAGCCTCCCGAGTAGCTGGGACTACAGGCGCCCGCCACCTCGCCCGGGTAGTTTTTTGTATTTTTTAGTAGAGATGGGGTTTCACCGTGTTAGCCAGGATGGTCTCGATCTCCTGACCTCGTGATCCGCCCGTCTCGGCCTCCCAAAGTGCTGGGATTATAGGCTTGAGCCACCGTGCCCGGCCCTTGAATCTCCCTTTTGAATAACAACAAATAACAATATGACCCAGACGTGGCGGCTCACACCTGTGGTTCCAGCTACTCGGGAGGCTGAGGTGTGAGAATTGCTTGAGCCCAGGTGGTGGAGGCTACACAGAGCTATATCACACCACTTCACTCCAGCCTGGGGGACAAAGTGAAACCCTATCTGTAAAAAAAAAAAGAAAAAAGAAAAAGAAACAATATGATCACAAAGTAGATATTCATGGTGTTTATTTTCAATACTCTTTTTTCTGTTTTGAGATGGAGTCTTGCTCTGTCACCCAGGCTGGAGTGCAGTGGCACGATCTTGGCTCATGGCAACCTCTGCCTCCTGGGTTCAAGCGATTCTCCTGCCTCAGCCTCCCCAGTAGCTGGTACTACAGGCACGTCCCACGATGCCCGGCTAATTTTTTGTAGTTTTTAGTAGAGATGAGGTTTCACTATGCTAGCCAGGATGGTCTTGATCTCCTGACCTCGTGATCTGCCCACCTCGGGTTCCCATATTGCTGGGATTAGGGGCGTGAGCACTTTTTTTGAGGCGGAGTTTCTCTCTTGTTACCGAGGCTGGAGTGCAATGGCGTGATCTCAGCTCACTGCAACCTCTGCCTCCTGGGTTCAAGCGATTCTCCTTCCTCAGCCTCCCGAGTAGCTGGGATTACCATGCCTGGCTAATTTTCTATTTTTAGTAGAGATGGGGTTTCTCCATGTTGGCCAAGATGGTCTTGAACTCCTGACCTCAGGTGATCCACCTGCCTCGGCCTCCCAAAGTGCTGGAATTACAGGTGTGAGCCACCGCGCCTGGCCTCATTTTGGACTTTTTAATTTAATTTAATTTAATTAATTAATTTATTTGAGACAGAGTCTCACTCTGTCACCCAGTCTGGAGTGCAGTGGCCGGATCTCAGCTCACTGCAAGCTCTGCCTCCCACGTTTACGCCATTCTCCTGCCTCAGCCTCCCGAGTAGCTGGGACTACAGGCTCCCGCCACCTCCCCTGGCTAGTTTTTTTGTATTTTTTAGTAGAGACCAGGTTTCACCGTGTTAGCCAGGATGGTCTCGATCTCCTGACCTCGTGATCCGCCCATCTCGGCCTCCTAAAGTGCTGGGATTATAGGCTTGAGCCACCGCGCCCGGCCTTTATTTTATTTTTTTTTGGTTTATATTTTTTTATTTTTTGGTTTCTTTTTTTTTGATACAGGGTCTCACTCTGACGTCCAGGCTGGAGTGCAGTGATGGGATCATAGCTCGCTGCGGCCTCTACCTTCTGGGCTCAAGCGATCCTTCCACTTCAACCTCCTGAGTAGCTGGGAGTACAGGCGTGCACCACCACACCTGGCTAATTTTTTGTTGTTGTTGTATGTAGAGATGAGATTTTGCCATGTTGACCAGGCTGGTCTTAAACTCCTGGACTCAAGAGATCCTCCTGCCTTGGCCTCCCAAGGTCATTTTTTTTTTTTTTTTTTGAGACAAAGTCTCGCTCTGTCGCCCAGGCTGGAGTGCAGTGGCCGGATCTCAGCTCACTGCAAGCTCCGCCTCCCGGGTTCACGCCATTCTCCGGCCTCAGCCTCCCGAGTAGCTGGGACCACAGGCGCCCGCCACCTCGCCCGGCTAGTTTTTTGTATTTCTTAATAGAGACGGGGTTTCACCGTGTTAGCCAGGATGGTTTCGATCTCCTGACCTCGTGATCCGCCCGTCTCGGCCTCCCAAAGTGCTGGGATTACAGGCTTGAGCCACCGCGCCCGGCCCCAAGGTCATTTTAGACTTCTCCTCATTATGCGCACACTTATTAGAGGGGCTTGCAGGCATGTGGCACTCAGAAGACGTTTATTTATTCTTTCAGAGGCTGAGGCTGCAGTGGCCACCCAGGAGACCTCCACCGTCAGGCTAATGGTCAGCTCCAAAGCCGTAGCGACACAGCACACAACCACCCGGCCTGTTCCCAACACCTCCCAGCTGCCTGGGGCCACCCCTGGGCTCACCACGGCGGAGACAGTGACGATGTCTCACCAAGGTAAAGGCTGGGCCTTCCCCAGGAGGTGGGCCCCTTCAGTGGCCACGAACATTTTGGTCACGAGATGGAGTCAAGGTGGCGTCCTCACTCCCTTGCTGACCTTCTCTCACTTGGGCCATGTGTCTCTGGGCCCTCAGTTTCCCTATCTGTAAAGTGGGCCTAATACCAGTTCTTGCCCTCTTTGCAAGGATTAAATGGGCCAAATCATATGAGGGGCCGGGTCCTTCAGGCTCCTGGTTCCCAAAGTCAGCCACACACAGTCTGGGTCCTGAAATTTTATCAAGGCACATTCGCTGCCTCACCTTCATGCATCCGCCCAGAAAGGCCAGGACTCAGGCAAGGAGAGGGAGGGATTCCTCAGTACGCAGCTTTTCGCAGAGGCTCCAAAAGGCTAAGGAATCCAGTACATTTTAACACAATTTTACAATTTTTTTTTTTTTTTTTGAGATGGAGTTTTGCTCTTGTTGCCCAGGCTGGAGTGCAGTGGCACGATCTCGGCTCACCATAACCTCTGGCTCCTGGGTTCAAGCGATTCTCCTGTCTCAGCCTCCGGAGTAGCTGGGACTACAGGCATGCGCCACCACGCCTGGCTAATTTTGTGTTTTTAGTACAGACAGGGTTTCTCTATGTTGGTCAGGCTGGTCGTGAACTCCCAACCTCAGGTGATCCGCCCGCCTGAGCCTCCCAAACTGCTGGGATTATAGGCATGAGTCACCACGCCTGGCCTTTTTTTGTTTTGTTTTGTTTTGTTTTTTGAGACAGAGTCTCGCTCTCACCCATGCTGTAGTGCAGTGACGCGGTCTCGGCTCATTGTAACCTCCGCTTCCCAGGTTCAAGCGATTCTTCTGCCTCCGTCTCCCAAGTAGAGTAGCTGGGATTACAGGCACCGCCGCCACGCCCGGCTAATTTTTGCATTTTTAGTAGAGATGGGGTTTCACAATGTTGGCCAGGCTGGTCTCAAACTTCTGACCTCAAGTCATCTGCCCGCCTCGGCCCCCGCCAAGTGCTGAGATTATAGGCGTGAGCCACCACACCGGGCCTACAATTTATTTTTTGGTGACTCATACCTGTAATCCCAGCACTTCGGGCGGCCAAGGTGGGAGAATGGCTTGAGCCCAGGAGTTCAAGTCCAGCCTGGGCAACACAGCAAGACCTTATCTCTACTACAAAATAAGTAACAAAGAAGCTAATTTTTTTCTTTTAAAACCCAACTATTCAACATGGTAATGCAATATATTTTTTATTTTTTATTTTATTTATTTATTTATTTTTGAGACGGAGTCTCGCTCTGTCGCCCAGGCTGGAGTGCAGTGGCGCGATCTCGGCTCACTGCAAGCTCCGCCTCCCGGGTTCACGCCATTCTCCTGCCTCAGCCTCCCGAGTAGCTGGGACTACAGGCGCCCACAACCGTGCCTGGCTAATTTTTTGTATTTTTAGTAGAGACGGGGTTTCACCGTGGTCTCGATCTCCTGACCTTGTGATCCGCCCGCCTCGGCCTCCCAAAGCGCTGGGATTACAGGCGTGAGCCACCGTGCCCGGCCTGCAATATATTTTTTAAAATTCTTTTTATTGAAATGGAGCCTCTCACTGTTGCCCGGGCTGGAGTACAGTGTCGCCATCTCAACTCACTGCACCCTCTGCCTCCCAGGTCCAAGTGATTCTCCTGCCTTAGCCTCCCGAGTAGCTGGGATTACAGGTGCCCACCACCATGCCCGGCTAATATTTTTGTATTTTTAGTAGAGACGGTTTCACAATGTAGGGCAGGCTGGTCTTGAACTCCTGACCTCGTGATCCACCCGCCTTGGCCTCCCAAAGTGCTGGGATTACAGGCATGAGCCACGGTGCCTGGCCAAAACTTTTTTATTTTTATTTTTTTGGGACACGGTCTCACTGTGTACCCCAGACTGGAGTGATAGAGCACTGTCACGGCTCACTGCAGCCTCAACCTCCCAGGGACCAGGTGATCTTCCCGCTTCAGTCTCCCAGGTAGCTGGGACTACAGGCATGAGCCACCACACCCAGCTAATTTTTGAATTTTTTTGTAGAGACGGGGTTTCGCCTTGTGGCCCAGGCTGGTCTCCAACTCCCGGGCTCAAGCGATCTGCCCACCTTGGCCTCCCAAAGTGCTGAGATTAATGCAATTTAAACAAAATTTTGGCCAGGCATGGTGGCTCATGCCTGTATTCCCAACACTTTGGGAGGAAAAGGCGGGCAGATCACTTGAGGTCAAGAGTTCGAGACTAACCTGGCCAACATGGTGAAACCCCCCCCAGTCTACTAAAAAAACACAAAAGTTACCTGGGCATAGTGGTGGGCGCCTGTAATCCCAACTCCTTGGGATGCTGAGGGTAGAGAATTGCTTGAACTTGGGAGACAGTGAGCCAAGGTCATGCCACTGGACTCCAGCCTGGGTGACAGAGCAAAACTCTGTCTCCAAAAACATTTTTTTTTTTTTTTTTTCCCCAAATCATCACAGTATAGCCAAGGCCTGGCCACTTACTTCTGTAAATAAAGTTTTATTGGAGCCAGTGGTCCAGTGAGGCTGAATCCTGCAGGTGTAAGATCATAGCCTGTCCTTGAAAATGTTGATATTTTGTTCATTGGGGGATTTTTTCATTAATTTAAATTTTAAAAACTAACACATTAAAGGCCAGTGTGGAGGTGCATGCCTGCAGTCCTAGCTACACTCACAGGCTGAGGCAGGAGACTCGCTTGAGCCCAAGAGTTGAAGTCCAGCCTGGGCAACATAGTAAGACTCCCATCTCTAAAAATAAAAATAATGCATTAGAATATTATTGGATTCCTGGGCAGGGCACAGGGGCTCATGCGTGTAATACCAGCACTTTGGGAGGCTGAGGCAGGCGGATCACATGAGGTCAGAAGTTTGAGACCAGCCTGGCCAACATGGTGAAACCCTGTCTCTACTAAAACACAAAAATTAGCCAGGCGTGGTGGCGCACACCTGTAATCCCAGCTACTCGGGAGGCTGAAGCATGAAAATCACTTGAATCCAGGAGGCGGAGGTTGCAGTGAGCTGAGATTGTGCCATTGCACTCCAATCCTGGGGGACAAGAGTGATACTCCATCCCCACCCCCCCCCCAAAAAAAAGGAATATTATCGGATTCCTAAGCTTTTTGGCTCCTCCTTTAGTTTGGGGACTGGGGTGAGGGTCTGGCTGTCTTCGTCCTATAAGACCTGGCCTCACTGTCCTCCCTGGATGTGATGAGACCCAGGTATGGGTCAGGACGTCATTCATTTGTCCACCAGAGGGCGCCCAACCTGCTTTGCGCTGCTGGGATATGGTGCTCCTAGACTTCTAGCAAACAAAAAAAAAATGGCACATCAGCAAATTTCAGACCATTCTTTTTTTTTTTTTCCCCCAGAGTAGCTGAAACCTTTGTTCAGTTACAAGCAGGATAAAATGGAAACTGCCTGGGAGAGGCCAGGAAACCTTCTTTCTTTGGGGAGGTGGGGCACTGCTAGAATTCCAGACCTCCTCAAATTTGGCAAAGAAGCCATTCATTCGTTCGTTCGTTCGTTCGTTCGTTCATTCATTCATTTGTGTAGAGAGGAGGGAGTTCTGGCTATGTTGCCCAGACTGGTCTCAAATTCCTGGCCTCAGGTGATTCTCCTGTCGTGGTCTCCTAATGTGCTGCAATTACAGGCGTGAGTCACCGTGCCTAGCTCTAGTGGACTTGAAATGTTGACTTGCCCGGGGCCTTTATGTTGAAGGGCCCAGGTCTACTTGCATGGTTCTGTACCGAGGTTATCCCCATCCCATAATTCGTGGGACAGTTAATGCAGGACAATCAGCCTCTGTGCCATTCAACCTCAGGACTGAGCATGCTGGGCACTGTGGGGTCCGAAGGTGGCTCCCCTGTCCCCTTCAAAATACACTCATTGTTTTTCTTTTCTTTTTCTTTTTTTTTTCTTTTTGAGATGTAGTCTTGCTCTACTGCCCAGGCTGGAGTGCAGTGGCACGATCTCGGCTCACCGCAACCTCTGCCTCCTGGGTTCAAGTGATTCTCCTGCCTCAGCCTCCTGAGTAGGTGGGATTACAGGTGCCCGCCACCACGCCTGGCTAATTTTTGTATTTTTAGTAGAGACAGGGTTTCACCGTGTTGGCCAGGCTGGTCTTGAACTCCTGACCTCAGGCAATTTGCCCACCTCAGCCTCCCAAAGTGCTCGGATTACAGGTTTGAGCCACTAGGCCTGGCTTTTTTTTTTTTTTGAGAGGGAGTCTTGCTCTGTTGCCGAGGTTGAAGTGCAATGATGCGATCTTGGCTCACTGCAACTCCATCTCCCGGGTTCAAGTGATTCTCCTTCCTCAGCCTCCCAAGTAGCTGGAATTACAGGTGCCCGCCACCACGCCCACCTAATTTTGTATTTTTAGTAGAGACAGGGTTTCACTATGTTGATCAGGCTGGTCTTGAACTCCTGACCTTAGGTGATCCACCCGCCTCAGCCTCCCAAAGTGCTGTGATTACAGGTGCGAGCCACCACGCCCGGACCAAAATATGCTCATTTTAATAAAATGCAGAGATAAGTTGACGAAAATTTCACCCACGACCTTGTCAACCTCCTGGAATGAAAGCCTCTGCGACCCTGCCCTAAAGACTCATGAACGTGAGGCTCAAGAACCTTCTTAGGCTGGGCTCGGTGCCTCATGCCTGTAATCCCCACACTTTGGAAGGCTGAGACAGGAGGATCACTTGAGTTCAAGACCAGCCTGGGCAACATAGCCAGACCCCTATTTCTATCCTCCCAAAAAAAAGCCTTCTTAAACTGGAATTGAGTCCCACAACTTTGGTAACTCACAAATAAGCCCGTGTGGCGTCTCGCAGACTCGGGAAATTCTCCAAGTGCCCAGGGAGACGTGCTGGGCACTTTCCTGGCCGTGACTGCCATCCTCTGCCTGCTCCATTTCTTGGTGGTCTTCCTTTAGACCTGGGCCTCACTCTTGCTTCTCTCCTGCAGCTCTGGGCGACGTTGCTGGCAGAGGAAATGAGAAGAAACCCAAGAGCGTGGGGGCTCTGTCCATCGTCCTCCCCACTGGTAAGTGCGGGCCAGTCCCCCAGCATCCCCCGGGTCACAGCCTCCTGCAATGTGACCTTGTGCCTGGCCGGTTGGGCCTGTTCACCTTTTCTCCCGGGCAGGGTACAGCCCCATTGAGTGTCCCTTACCACCCCGACAGCCTCTCCCGGCTTCGGGCTGACAGTGACAAGATCAGACAGCTAAGGGGTCAGATGGAGGACGTGGAGCTGGGTCCTGTGCTGCGGACATGGCCTCACCGAGACTTGAGTGCCTTCTGGGGAACTGGTTCTCTTGCAGGGGACTGTGTGGAGAGGCGCACTCTCGCTGCCTCACTCATGCTCATCCTAACTCACATCACATTTCTTTTTTCCTTTTTCCTTAAATTTTAAGAAAAAAGAAATTTAATTTGTTTTAGAGACAGAGTCTTGCTCTGTCACCCAGGCTAGAGTGCAGGGGCGCGATCATGCCTTGCTGTAGCCTCAATGTCTAGGCTCAAGTGATCCTCCCACCTCGGCCTCCCGAGTAGCTGGTACAAGCCACTGTACCCCGGTTCCTATTTCTTAAAAAGTCACAGCCTTGTGTGTGGCTAATCCTGGACAGAAATATGGAAGAAGTCAGCTACTTCTGGGGTGTGGCTCACCCAGTGGGCTTCAGGTTAGATATTCCTTATATTTACGAGGCTGGGCGCCGTGGCTCATGCCTGTAATCCGAGCACTTTGGGAGGCTGAGATGGGTGGATCGCTTGGGCTTAGGGCTTCGAGACCAACCTGGGCAACATGGCGAAACCCTGTTTCTACAAAAGATACAAAAATTAGCTGGGCAGGTGACACTTGCCTGTGGTCCCAGCTACTTGAGGGGCTGAGGCAGGAGGATTGCTTGAACCTGGGAGGTCAAGGTTGCAATGAACTGAGACTGCGCCACTGTACTCCAGCCTGGTAACAGAGCAAGACTCCGTCTCAAAATAAATAAATAAATAAAATTCTTATGGATAGATTTGCCTATTTTCTGTTTGTTTGTTTTTTCTTTTTTTTTTTTTTTTGAGATGGAGTCTTGCCCTGTCACCCAGGTTGGAGTGCAGTGACACGATCTTGGCTCACTGCAACCTCCACCTCCCAGGTTCAAGCGATTCTCCTGCCTCAGCCTCCCGAGTAGCTGGGACCATAGGCGCCCACCCCCACGCCCGGCTAATTTTTGTAGTTTTTAGTAGAGATGGGGTTTCACTATGTTGGCCAGGCTGATCTTGAACTCCTGACCTCATGATCCACCCGCCTCAGCCTCCCAAGGTGCTGGGATTATAGGCGTGAGCCACCGCGCCTGGCCTGTTTATTTTTTGTTTTTTTTGAGATGGAGTCTCGCTTTGTTGCCCAGGCTGGAGTGCAGTTGCTCAACCTCAGCTCACTGCAACCTCCGCCTCTTGGGTTCAAGCAGTTCTCCTGCCTCAGCCTCCCGAGTAGCTGGGATTACAGGCACGCACCGCCATACCTGGCTGGTTTTTGTAATTTTAGTAGAGATGGGGTTTCACCTCATTGGCCAGGCTGGTCTCAACGCAAAAAAAAAAAAAAAAAAAAAAAAAATGCCGGATATGGTGGTGCATGTCTATAGTCCCAGCTATTCAGAAAGCTGAGTTGGGAGGATCGCTGGAGGCCAGGAGGTTGAGGCTGCAGTGATCTATGATGATGCCACTGCACTCCAGCCTGGGGCACAGAGCAAGACACTGTCTCTTTTTTTTTTTTTTTTTTTGACGGAGTCTTGCTCCGTCACCAGACTGGAATGCAGTGGTGCAATCTCAGCTTACTGCAACCTCCGCCTCCCGGGTTCAAGCAATTCTCCTGCCTCAGTCTCCCGAATAGCTGGGACTACAGGTACCCGCCACCACGCCCAGCTAATTTTTGTCTTTTTAGTAGAGACGGGGTTTCACCATGTTGGCCAGGCTGGTCTCGAACTCCTGACCTCATGATCTGCCCGCCTCGGCCTCCCAAAGTGCTGGGATTACAGGCGTGAGCCACTGTGCCCAGCCCTCAAGACTATCTCTAAACAAACATAAAAGACCAGGAGTCCAGGTTATGGTATGATGCCCGTGTTTTCGCTCCAGCCATGGAGCTGGGTCTCTTGTCTTGAGCGGAGCTGTGTGACAGAGTGTGCCTCTCCCTACAGTGCTCCTCGTCTTCCTCTGCTTGGGGGCCTTCCTCCTCTGGAAGAACTGGCGGCTGAAGAGCATCAACAGCATCAACTTTGACAACCCTGTCTATCAGAAGACCACAGAGGATGAGGTCCACATTTGCCGCAACCAGGACGGCTACAGCTACCCCTCGGTGAGTGACCCCCTCTAGAAGGCCAGAGGCTTCCCCAGCCCTCCAGATCGAGGACGGCCTTAGGTGAATGCTTCTGTGTGCTTGTTCAGAATGTCAGCGGACAACGGCCTCGCTGATGTAGAGGAACGCTGGATCAGCGCATAGAGTTCCATCAGATGGTGACGGGGCAAAGAAAGTCAAAAGGAGTTCAGGGGCCGGGCGTGGCGGCTCACGCCTGTAATCCCAGCACTTTGGGAGGCCAAGGTGGCGGATCACCTGAGGTCAGGAGTTCAAGATCAGCATGCCCAGCATAAGGAAACCCCGTCTCTACTAAAAATACAAAAAATTAGCTGGGCGTGGTAGCAGGCACCTGTAATCCCAGCTACTTGGGAAGCTGAGATAGAAAAATCGCTTGAACCCGGGAGGCGGAGGTTGCAGTGAGCCGAGATCGCACCACTGCACTGCAGCCCGGGTGGCAAGAGCAAAACTCCATTTCAAAAAGAGTTCAGAGGCCGGACACGGTGGTTCATACATGTGATCCCAGAACTTGGGGAGGCTGAGCAGGTGAATCACCTGAGCTCAGAGTTCATGACCAGCCTGGGCAGCATAGCAAGACCCCATCTCTGCAAAAAAATAAAAATTTAGCCTAGACAAGCACCTATAGTTACAGCTACTAGGGAGGCTAAAGCAGGAGGTCAAGACTGCAGTGAGTCGTGATTGCACCACTGCACTCCAGCCTGGGTGACAGAGCAAGACTTTGTCTCTTAAAAAAACAAAACAAAACTCAAAGAAGGGTTTCCAGAGGGCTGGGAGGCAGGAAGGGAGAGGAGGTGTTTTTTGTGTGTGTTGTTGTTGTTTTGAGACAGGGTCTTGCATTGTCACCCAGGCTGGAGTGCAGTGTTGCGATCTTGGCTCACTGCAACTTCTGCCTCCTGGGTTCAAGCAATTCTCATGCCTCAGCCTCAGCCTCCTGAGTAGCTGGGATTACAACACTATGCCCGGGTAATTTCTGTATTTTTAGTAGAAATGAGGTTTTGCCATGTTGCCCAGACTGGTCTCGAACTCCTGACCTCAAGTGATCCACCCGCCTTGGCCTCCCCACGTGCTGGGATTGCAGGCGTGAGCTACCATGCCCGCCTTGATCTTCAGACAAGGGGTTTAGGGTAGGTAGGCTTCTCTGAGCCAGAGGAACAGCCTGTGCGAAGGCCCTGAGGCTGGACCGTGCCTGTTGGGTTTGAGGCCGTTGTAGCTGGAGCAAAGAGGGGTAAAAAGGCAGGAGACGACCAGGCTGGTTGTGCAGAGCCTTGTGGGCCACCGGGGGGGAGGACTTTGGCTTTTGCCCGAGAGCGGTGGGAAGTGACTGAATCGTGTACTCACCGTCTCCCTCTGGCGGCTCCTGGGGGAACATGCTGAGGGATCAGGATGTGGGAGGCTGCGGAGCCCAGGAGGTGAGAAGTAGGTGGCCTCCGGCCGAGTTTCCTGAATGCTGGACTGATCGTTTCCGCTGTTTACCATTTGTTGGCAGAGACAGATGGTCAGTCTGGAGGATGACGTGGCGTGAACATCTGCCTGGAGTCCCTGGAGTCCGTCCCTGCCCAGAACGCTTCCTGAGACCTCGCCGGCCTCGTTTTAGTCAAAGACAGAGAAGACCAAAGCATTGCCTGCCAGAGCTTTGTTTTATATATTTATTCATCTGGGAGGCAGAACAGGCTTCGGACAGTGTCCATGCAGTGGCTTGGGCTGGGATTTTTGCTTTCTTTACTTGTGAAGGAGGAGAGAAACAGGCCCAGGGGCACCAGGATGACATGTCCATTTGGAAGTTTTGAGTTTCTCTCCACTGTGACACAATCCTCAAACGTGAAAGATGAAAGGGCAGGGGATGTCAGGTCCAGAGAAGCAAGTGGCTTTCAACACACGACAGCAGATGTCACCAACGGGACCCCTGGCCCTGCCTCGTCCACCAGTCTCTAAGCCGAACCCTTAAACTCAGGAGTCAACGTGTTTACCTCTTCTACGCAAGCCTTGCTCAACAGCCAAGTTAGCCTTTGCCCTGTCACCCCCGAATCAGGACCCACCCGGTGTCTTTCAAGCTGGGCTTGTACCTTCCTCAAACCAGGAAAGGGATTCATGGCGTCGGAACTGATCTGGCTGAATCCGTGGTGGCACTGAGACCAAACTCATTCACCAAATGATGCCACTTCCCAGAGGGAGAGCCTGAGTCTCTGGTCACCCTTAATATTTATTAAGTGCCTGAGACACCCGGTTACCTTGGCCATGAGGACACGTGGCCTGCACCCAGGTGTGGCTGTCAGGACGCCAGCCTGGTGCCCATCCTCCCCACCCCTACCCACTTCCATTCCTGTGGTCTCCTTGCACTTTCTCAGTTCAGAGTTGTACATTGTGTAAATTCAGCATCTGTGTTGTTTTGCACTGTTTTCTGTCGTGTGTGTTGGGATGGGATCCCAGGCCAGGGAAAGCCCGTGTCAATGAATGCCAGAGACAGAGAGGGGCAGGTTGACCGGGATTTCAAAGCCGTGATGGTGAATATTGAGAACTGCCATTGTCTTCTTTATGTCTGCTCACCTAGTGCCTCCACTACTATGCAAATGCCTCCAAGCCATTCACATCCCCGATCTTGTCATTGATGGGTATGTGTTTAAAACATGCATGGTAAGGCCAGGTGCAATGGCTCATGCCTGTAATCCCAGCACTTTGGGAGGCCCAGGAGGGCGGATCATCTGAGGTTAGGAGTTCGAGACCAGCCTGGCCAACATGGTGAAACTCTGTCTCTACAAAAAATACAAAAGGTAGCCGGGTGTGGTGGTGCATACCTGTAATCCCAGTGACTCGGGAGGCTGAGGCAGGAGAATCGCTTGAACCCAGGAGTTGGAAGTTGCAGTGAGCTGAGATTGTGCCATTGCACTCCAGCCTGGGTGACAAAAGCAAAACTTGTTTCAAACAAAACAAAACAAAACAAAAAACACATGCCTGGTGCATCAGCAGCCTGTGGCCTCTGGCCAGGCATGGCGAGGCTGAGGTGGGAGGAGGGTTTGAGCTCAGGCATTTGAGGCTGCTGTAAGCTATGATTATGCCACTGCACTCCAGCCTGGGCAACATAGTAAGACCCCATCTCTTAAAAAATGAAGTTGGCCAGACACAGGTGCCTCATGCCTGTAATCCCCTGTAATCCCAGCACTTTGGGAGGCTGAGTCAGAAGGATCACTTGATCTCCTCACCTCGTGATCTGCCCACCTTAGCCTCCCAGAATGCTTGCATTACAGGCGTGAGCCACCACGCCCAGCCAACGCCTGGCTACTTTTTGAATTTTTGGTAGAGATGGGGTTTCACCATGTTGGTCAGGCTGGTCTTGAACTCCTGACCTTGGGTGATCCGCCCGCCTCAGCCTCCCAAAGTGCTGGGATTACAGGTGTGAGCCATCGCCCGGGCCGGCCTCGCTCCCTTCTTTCATCTGTTTGTGGCTTGGACTCCCCAGGAGAAGGACCCAGGAGGGGAAGATTTTCAGGAGTTGGAGACCAGGCCTGAGCAACAAAGCAAGATCCCATCGCTACAAAAATCAAAAAGTTAAAAATCAGTGGGGTGCGGTGGTGCATGCCTGTGATCCCAGCTACTCGGGAGGCTGAGGCAGGAGGATCACCTGAGCCCAGGAGGTGGAGGTTGCAGTGAGCCATGATCAAGCTACTGCACTCCAGCCTGGGCAACAGATCGACTCTATCTCATAAATAAAACTAAAAAAAAAAGTAAATCCTCCAGTCTGGATCGTTTGACGGGACTTCAGGTTCTTTCTGAAATTGCCCTAAATGCTACTGTTGCACTGATGACCCTAGAGAGAGTGACAGCCTCCCTCAGATTCCCGGTGTGAAGATGTCACAGGGATTGGCTGTTGTCCCCAGGGACGAAACACTGTGCCCCCCCCCCAGTGCAGGGAACCATGACAAGCCTTTCTGGTTTCGGAGCATGCAAATGCATCCCTGTACAGATAGTGGGGTTTTTTGTTATGTTTGCACTTTGTATATTGGTTGAAACTGTTATCACTTATATATATATACAGGTATATATAAAATCTATTTATTTATGCAAACGCTGGTTGCTGTATTTGTTCAGTGACTATTCTCGGTGCCCTGCGTAGTGGGTTATTGTCTCTGAAATGCCTCTTCTTTATGTACAAAGATTATTTGCACAAACTGGACTGTGTGCAACGCTTTTCGGGAGGATGATGCCCCCGCTGTATGTATGAGTGGCTTCTGGGAGACGGGTGTCACTTTTTAAACCACTGTATAGAAGGTTTTTGTAGCCTGACTGTCTTACTGTGATCAATTAAATTTTTTAAATGAACCGGTTTGTCTAAACTCAACGCACTTTCTTCTGTTCGCTCATTTCTTTTTTTTTTTTTTTTTTTTTTTTTTGAGACGGAGTCTGGCTCTGTCACCCCGGGCTGGAGAGCAGTGGCATGATCTTGGCTCACTGCAACCTCCGCCTCCCAGGTTCAAGCAATTCTCCTGCCTCAGCCTCCCTAGTAGCTGGGATGACAGGCGAGTGCCACCATGCCTGGCAATTTTTTTTTTTGAGATGGAGTCTTGCTCTGTCGCCCAGGCTGGAGTGCAGTGGCGCCATCTCAGCTCACTGCAACCTCCGCCTCCTGGGTTAATGCCATTCTCCCACCTCAGCCTCCCAAGTAACTGGGGCCACAAGCGCCCATCACCACGCCTGGCTAATTTTTTGTATTTTTAGTAGAGACGGGGTTTCACTGTGTTAGCCAGGATGGTCTTGATCTCCTGACCTTGTGATCTGCCCACCTTAGCCTCCCAAAATGCTTGCATTACAGGCATGAGCCACCACACCCAGCCAATGCCTGGCTAATTTTTGAATTTTTGGTAGAGATGGGGTTTCACCATGTTGGTCAGGCTGGTCTTGAACTCCTGACCTTGGGTGATCTGCCCGCCTCAGCCTCCCAAAGTGCTGGGATTACAGGTGTGAGCCCCTGCCCAGGCCGGCCTTGCTCCCTTCTTTCATCTGTTTGTGGATTGGACTCCCCAGGAGAAGGGCCCAGAAGGGGGAGATTTTCCCAGAACTCTGGGCCGCATGCGGTCTCCACGGGCTGCCACGGTACCTGGCCTGTGCTGTGATGGCTGCCCTGGTGAGTGTGTTCTCTGCTGTCGCTTCTCTGAGTTGGAGATTTTGTCAAGTCCTCTGCTCATCCATTCATTCACTCGACAAATGAGTGCTTACTGCGAACCATGCTCTCTCGTAGGCTTGTGGGACACTACAGGGGATAAAAGAAATGAAAGATGGACCGCCGGGCGCGGTGGCTCACGCCTGTAATCCCAGCACTTTGGGAGGCCGAGGCGGGCAGATCACGAGGTCAGGAGATCGAGACCATCCTGGCTAACACGGTGAAACCCCGTCTCTACTAAAAAATACAAAAAATTAGCCGGGCGAGGCGGCGGGCGCCTGTAGTCCCAGCTACTCGGGAGGCTGAGGCAGGAGAATGGCGTGAACCCGGGAGGCGGAGCTTGCAGTGAGCCGAGATCGCGCCATTGCACTCCAGCCTGGGCGACTAAGCGAGACTCTGTCTCAAAAAAAAAAAAAAAAAAAAAAAAAAGAAATGAAAGATGGGTGCGGTGGCTCATGCCTGTAATTCCAGCACTTTGGGCGGCTGAGGCGGGCAGATCACAAGGTCAGGAGTTCGAGATCAGCCTGCCCAACATAGTGAAACCCCGCCTCTACTAAAAATACAAAAACATTAGCCAGGCATGCTGGTGGGTGCCTGTAATTCCAGCTACTTGGGAGGCTGAGGCAGGATAATCGTTTGGACTCAGGAGGCGGAGGTTGCAGTGAGCTGAGATCACGCCACTGCACTCCAGCCTGGGCAACAGAGAGAGACTCCGTCTCAAAAAAAGGGTTAACATGGTCAATTTTATGTGAGGCGTATTGGACTACAATTAAAATCACAAAAAATGTTCAAGATGAAACGGGGGGACAGTGAGGTAACCCAGAAATAAGCAACAGCAGAAAGCGCCACCACCACAAAACCAGGAGAGGGAAGACGTGGTTTCTGGAGCCTGGGAGCTGGTGGGAGCCAGAAACTCATAGGAGGGAAAGAACTGCTGCACATGTGGTCCCCGGCAGAGGGAGGGGGAAAGAGTCCAGCCCATCCCCTGCTCCAGGCTCTATCTCCCACCGCTGCCTCCCACCGCCTGAACCCAACAGGGACGGGCTGATGAAGCCCAGGCAATGGTGCCTTACTGGGTGGATTGAAGGAGGGACAGGGTCGGCCTGGGGGTGACACGACACTGGGGTGGTTAGGCCCACAAACGTGGCCGGGGGTCACGGCTCATGCCTGTAATCCCAGCACTTTGGGAGCCTGAGGTAGGAGGATTGCTTGAGCCCAGAAGTTCAAGAGCAGTCTGGGCAATATAGCAAGACCCCATCTCTAAAAAACATTCTAAAATTTCCAGGCTTACGCCTATAATCCCAGCACTCCGGGAGGCTGAGGCAGGCAGATCACCTGAGGTCAGGAGTTCAAGACCAGCCTGGCCAAAATGGTAAAACCCCGTCTCTACTAAACATACAAAAATTAGACAAGTGTGGTGGCGCATACCTGTAATCCCAGCTACTCGGGAGGCTGAGGCAGGAGAATCTCTTGAACTCGGGAGGCTGAGGTTGCAGTGAGCCAAGATCGTGCCACTGCACTCCAGGTGACAGAACGAGACTCTGCCTTAAAAAAACAAACAACAACAAAGTAATTTTAAAATTACCAGCCTGATATGATGGTGCACACCTGTAGTCCTAGCTACTTGAGAGGCTGACGTGGGAGGATCTCTTGAGCCCAGCACTTTGGGAGACCAACCTGGGCAGATTACCTGAGGTTGGGGATTTGAGACCAGCCTGACCAACCTGGAGAAACCCCGTCTCTACCAAAAATACAAAATTACCCGGGCGTATTGGCGCATGCCTGTAATCCCAGCTACTCAGGAGGCTGAGGCAGGAGAATTGCTTGAACCTGGGAGGCAGAGGCTGCAGTGAGCTGAGATCCCGCCATTGTACTCCAGCCTGGGCAACAAGAGCGAAACTCCGTCTCAAAAAACAAAACACCACAAAAATCCAAAAAGAGCAGACTGACCAGGCCACCTGGGTTCATATCCTGGCTCTGCCACTGACTCGCTGGGTGACGGGCACCTCAGAGCCTCAGTTTCTCCACCCGACAATGGAGACAAAGCTAATCTCCCCCTCCCCAGGGGCTCTGGAAGTGGCATGAGATGGGGGCTGCGCAGGCGCCCGGAGACAAAGGCAGGGCCTGTCATCTTTCCCGCGTCCACAGGGTGGCACTTCCTTCCTGCCTTCCGCCTTTTGTTTTGGGAAGCTTCCAAAACGCCCCTGGGAGGGAAAATGGAGCAGCCCACACAGGAAGCGTCCCGGAGCCTGCACACATGCGCTCGATAATTGCTTGATTGACGAAATTGGTGCTCAACCAAGTGGCAAACAGGATAAGTGGGCTCAGATGGCCAGGAAAACGGGAGGGCCTGGGAGGTGGCGGCTCAAGGGTGCTGAGACTGAGACGGGGGCGGGGGGGGGGTTGGGCAGGACCGGGGTGCATCCCCAGGCAGGGGTGGGGGGACCGGGTGCACAGCACGGGTGGGGCATGACCCAGAGGAGAGGTCAGAGGTGATGGAAGATTCTGGTATCCAGCCTTGGCTGCTGCATTGGGAGGGAGCCTGTACCAGGGCTTTGCTTTGAGGGTGACACAGACCTGCAGACATTCAGAGTTTCCTGACCATCTATTGTTCTGCCCTGGTGGTCGCCGAAGGGAGGGAGGGTGACAGCCTCCCATTTTACAGAGAGAAATAGGAGTCTCGGGTCACTGTGGCTGGATTCTGATCCTCACCGGTTCCAGTTCTCTGGCTCAGAACGGGGCGCTGGTAAAATGCGCTTCTGGCTCCCTGGTCCATAGGCTCAGCACCCACCCACCCGCCCAAAGGCGCTTGTCCTGCAGGGCCGGGGGCAGCCTGCAGCTTGGAGAACGCCACCCCTGCAGACGGGATGAGGGCTGGTGGTCCTGTCCTGTCTCCGCAGGCTCAACAGCTCTGGCCAGGAGAGAGTGGAAGGTGGGAGGAATTTGCCCCACTCCCAGCAAGTCTGACACCCACAGCTAATGTCCCCTGCTGTCCCTCCCCCTCTCCTGTCCCCAGGCCGTTCCTCTTCCAGCAGCCCGAGGCATCCCAGACCACAGCTGTCTGCAGTGAGTCAGCCTGAGTCTCTGGGCTGAGCCAGGGCTGCCAGAGGGAGGTGGGGAGAGGGGTGTAGGCTGCCCGGCCCTGCAGCTGGCCCTGGCCTAGTCCCCCCCAACCTCCCCAGTCTGGGGTCAGCACCTTCCTCCCTTGCAGGCAGTGATTTTCCATGATGATGAAGGAATAAAAAAGCCACTGAGGATTCTGAGTGGGAGTCCCTGGTCCCCATCACCCCACTGAGCACGGCCGCTTGGGTTTCCTGGCAACTTTCTGCTCCATCCGCAGCCGTCCCTCCCCTGGGCTGGGCTGCTCTGGGGCTGTTCCTGGGATGGGGAGCGGGGAGCTTGGGGGTAAATAATGACATCAGCCACCTAGACAGGCGGGGCCACTGTGTCAAGGGGCCCATGTCAGGTTCCCTTCTCCCAGAGCTGGGGTTTGTCTTGGAATCGGAAAATCCTCCCCACATTGCCCTGTGGCCTGCAGGCCTGGCGTGATCAAGGACCCTGCCCTCCTGCTATCCCCCTGTCTCCTCCATGCCAGCCTTGCTGTGTCCCCTGCCTGGCTCACAGTTTCCACACCTTTATCCCCCGGGGACTCATGTCTGGGACAAATGACGCCTCCTCCCTGGGCCTCCCACAGAGCCACAGAGCATCCCTCCCCGAACCCACAGTGTTCATTTGTGGGTAGGGATTAAGAGCACAGCTTGAATTAAAGCCCTGGCTCTGACACCGGCCTGCAGAAAACCTGACACAGTGGCCTCCACTGGGGCGTGACTCCATGAAGGAGGGCCTGGCCGGCCACAGGCTTACAGCACACATTTCTCTTTTCTTTATTCCTTCCTTCCTTTCCTTTCTTTCTCTCTCTCTCTCCCTCCCTCCCTCCCTTCCTCCCTTTCTTCCTTCCTCCCTCCCTCCCTCCCTTCCTTCTTCCCCTCCTCCCCTCCCCTCTTTTTTTTTTTTTTTTGAGACAGGGCCTCGCTTTGTCACCCAGGCTGGAGTGCAGTGGTGCGATCCTAGCTCACTGCAGCCTTGACCTCCCAGGGTTGAGGCAATCCTCCCGCCTCAGCCTCCCAAGTAGCCAGGACTATGGGTGCACGCTACCATGCCTGGCTAATTTTTTAGGTCTTTTGTAGAGACAGGAGTCTCACCATGTTGTCCAGGCTGGTCTTGAACTCCTCAGTTCAAGCAATCTTCCTGCCTTGGCCTCCCAAAGTGCTGGGATTACAGGCATGAGCCACAGTGCCTGGCCCAGTTCACATTTCTAAGTAAATATGGGAGGCCAGCCAGGCGCAGTGGCTGTAATCCCAGCACTTTGTGAGGCCGAGGTGGGTGGATCACCTGAGGTCAGGAGTTCCAGACCAGCCTGGCCAACCTGGTGAAACCCCGTCTTTACTTAAAAAAATACAAAAATTAGTGGGATGTGATGTCAGGTGCCTGGGTTCAAATCCAGCCTTGGAAGCTTGCTTCCTGTGCACAGGCAAGCCCCATTGCGATCTGTTTCTTTATTTTTTTTGAAATGGCGTCTTGCTCTGTCACCCAGGCTAGAGTGCAGTGGTGTGATCTCAGGTCACTGCAACGTCCGCCTCCTGGGTTCAAGCGATTCTCCTGCTTCAGCCTCCTGAGTAGCTGGGATTACAGGCATGTGCCTCCACGCTCAACTAATTTTTGTATTTTTAGTAGAGATGGGGCTTCACCATCTTGGCCAGGCTGGTCTCAAACTCCTGACCTCGTAATCTGCTTGCCTCAGCCTCCCAACGTGCTGGGATTACAGGGGTGAGCCACTGCACCCGGCCATGATCTGTTTCTTTTAACCATAAACTGGGAAGAACTTTGAGCACGTCTTAGTCCAGAACTATCAGGGAAGAGGCACTGAAAGCCAGGCCAGAGGAGGGTTGCATGAAAGGCTTGGCGCCAGCTACTCAGGAGGCTGAGGCAGGTGGATTGTTTGAGCTGATGAATTAGAGGCTGCAGTGAGGCTGTGATCACGCCACTGCACTCCAGCCTAGGCAACAGAGTGAAACCCTGTCTCAAAAAAAAAAAGAAAAGGCCGGGCACGGTGGCTCAAGCCTGTAATCCCAGCACTTTGGGAGGCCGAGACGGGCGGATCACGAGGTCAGGAGATCAAGACCATCCTGGCTAACACGGTGAAACCCTGTCTCTACTAAAAAATACAAAAAACTAGTCGGGCGAGGTGGCGGGCGTCTGTGGTCCCAGCTACTCGGGAGGCTGAGGCGGGAGAATGGCGTGAACCCGGGAGGCGGAGCTTGCAGTGAGCCGAGATTGCGCCACTGCACTCCAGCCTGGGCGACAGAGCGAGACTCCGTCTCAAAAAAAAAAAAAAAAAAAGAGAAGTATTAAAAAAAAAAAAAAAAAAAAAAGGTGCAGCCATCCCAAGCTGCTCCCAGCCGCCTGCCCCTCTGGGTGGCCTCCACTATTGGCTGAGGACGCACTTTACCCCCGCCAGGGCCTGGGGAGTCCTGGGGAAAGGGACCCGAGTCTAGTCCTCAGGGGAAGCTGCCCAGTGAGCAGCAGGGCGTGAGGAAGGCTTCAGCCTCGAGACTCCATAGGCCCTGGGCTCCCGTCCCCAGAAACACCAGTTACGAGCAGGGGACTGGCCATGGTGTGAGTTCGTGGCCTGCACACCTCCTACCAATAATGACTAAGTGGCTAGAGCTTTGGGCTGCCCCCCTGCCGCCCTCTGGGGCTCGGGCAGGTGCAGGTGTGGATGCCCACCCTGGCTTGGCCGCTTCCCACCTGGGTGGCTTCGGACACAGGGTGGACTCCTCAAAGGAGCTACCTCCCATCTGGGAAGCCAGCGTGATCCTCCAGGGGCTGCTGATGCACACACGCTGCCCCGGTCCCGAGTGAGATCACCCTGCCCCTGGGGGACGTTGGGGGCTTCGCTGCTTAAGTTCACAATCCAGGGTCGTCCTTGTCCTGCGTGCCTCAGTTTCCCCATCTGTAAAATGGATGGTCCTGGGGTTGAGCCTCAGTGCTGCAGGGACAAGTGTGGAGCCCCACATCCTGGGGCCTGAAACTTTACTCCCACCTCAGCAAGGCTGGGCTGAGCCATCAACAAGCCTCTGGCCGGCCTCCATCATTCAGGAAAGAGCCGGTGGCCGAAGGGGCAGCTCTCAGAGGGAGAACAAACGGGGGCGGGGGTGGGATGGGGCGGGGCTGGAGGCCACCGGCCTCAGGCTGTCCTGGGCACTCAGCCAGCGCTGGGCAGTGAGTCAGGGGCCAGGCATGCGGAGTGGGGCCTCTCCCGGCCCTGGAGATCAGGCACCTCCCGGAACCCGCCCGCTGGGCCCCCACCAGGCCGCGTTCCTCTCCCACTCACTCTCGCCATAGAGGGGACCCTGGACCTGCCTGAGGGGGATGGGAACGGGGATGTGGGTGGTGGGCACAGGCCCCCTGATGGGACCGTCTC